TTTTTTTTTTTTTTTTTTGTTTAAGTTTCAAATTTTTTCCATAATTTCCAAACAAAATTCATTAGCATTTTTGGCATCATTAGCAATTTTTCTAATATTAACAATTATTTAATGAATTGCTTTTACATAAAACAGTGTTATGGTTTTACCTCAATATATTCGTATAGCACAATCTCAGTAATTCAGCCATTTGCTAGTTTGGCATTTCCAGTAATCTGACATTACTTGACTCTCAGATATTACTGGCTAAGATAAACAATCTTCCCACTAGTTCAAACTCCAGTCATCACTAAATGTGAATACCTTCCCACTAAATATGGCATGACATTGAGCCCAAGCTGGAACATTATATTAAAGATTGTTTGCTTTGTCAATTTTAGACTGTTCAATTTGACTGTTCTCCTTTCTTACTTGTTTATTTTCTATATGTTTTTGCTTAATACAATGTATCATGATCATGCAAATAAACAATTTTATTTACCAGTGATTAAACCATTGAATTCATCTTACTTTCAATATTCAGACAATCTTCTCAATCCAATGCTGTTACAGTACAGTACCATATATGTTGGATTACTGCAATTGTATTAATTTTACAGACTATCAGACTGTCCACATTGTAACTATTAAGTTAATTTCACAAAAATATTTAACTATTGAATCCTTCTATGACAATATAATCACAAAGCAAACCATTTTCAATAAAAATACCTTTAAAATTAAATATCATTTTCTAATAGTTCTATATTATTAGACTAACAATGAATGCCTCATATCAAATGGCACTGAAAGACATCTATCTATTTAATTTTAAATTATAAAAATATTTCAATAAAAAAAAATTAGATTTTTTAAAAATAGTCTGTTGACTACTACTTGACAGATTACTTTCTACCAGAAAGCAGAACATCAAGAATAGAATGTCACATGATCATTATAGAAAGTTTTTTTAAAAAATACTGTTGTAGAAGTGACATAATGCAGCTATTATTAAGATAACTGACATCATTTCTGATGCCATTGCAATGTAAGTACTGTCACTGAGCTGAATCTATTGTCATCTTGTGCATAAAGCCAATTTTATATATATTTCAAATTAAATAGACTATACTTTCTGTTAAAACAAAGAGCATCTAAACAAAATTTCATCTGGATTAGACAAAAACAGCAGGGATTATAATGAATATAATATACACACACACCCACACAAAGGCTATTATAATAATAACTATAATGGCTTTGAATAAATACAGTCAAAGCTGGTTATAAGGAACATGGATTTAATGAGCAAAATGCCACAATAATTTTAATTTACATGTATTTCTTTACATTTTCTCAGTTATAATGAGCATAATTCATAGATATATCAAGCAAATTTTCAGTAACCATGCTAACAAACATTCTTAATTGTTCAAGTAATAAGAAATGTGGTATCAAATTCTTGGAAAAAATAAAACTAAAAGAATACTTAGTTTTATGACCAATGAATAATTAATTTCATGATTTGCATGGATTACAGGCTATTTACCATTTAACATTCTTTTTGGAGACTGTTCCTCTCTTTGCTAACTAGCTTCCAGCTCTGCTCTGACAATTTACCTAATCAACACTACAACCGTAAAATTGCCATATATAGTAGTTAGAAATGAACCCTTCAATTTTATGATTTGTAGATAAAAAGATTAACTGAAATCAAGCATATTATTAATTAGTATTATCTTTAATTACAAAAAAATAAATTGTTTATTATTACATTGTAGCTTATATAACAATTACTGTATATTTCCATAGATAAGACGATAGTTGAATCATAAAAATGGCCCCCAAAATTCGGAGTTGTCTTATAGGACAGATACAAAAAAAATTAGAATGAAATTTATATAAATTAAAACCATTATAAAATAAAACGAATCACTGACCAATGTATTTAAAATCCTGCAAAATCCTCACAATCATCATCTAAGGCAAATAGCTCCTCAAGTACATCCTCACTTTTGTTGTTGAGAAGCTTGTCATATGAGTCCCATTCTATACCTAGAGAGTCAATTTCCACTTCGTCATCAGTATACCATAACAAATCGTTCTCAGTGCCATCCATAGCATTAGAAATCCCACACTTTTTGAAGGATTTGATCACTGTTTCCACTTTCGTTTTTTCTCATGATTTGATCATTAAATCACACAGCACATCAAGTACTGTGTGATTTTATGAATCAGCCCACAAATCTCCACCTTTTGTATATGACTTTTCACCACTCATCATCCAGTTATTCCATTGTTCACGCATGTGATCTTTGAATGGTTTAATCAGAGAGACATCTAAAGGTTTAGCATCAAAGTTAAACCACCCGGTATAACAGCAATTTTAGTATTGTTCAGTGCTAAGTGATTTTTAGTGTTCTCAGTTATATGACTGCAAAACATATCCCACACCAACAAACTGTGTTGATTTCGTAGAGCACTTGGTCGCCTGTGCTAAATCCACAATTTTACACCATTCTCATCCATCCACCCCTTTTCATGAAAATGTACAAAAATGCCTGGTGGTAAATTTTATTTTAGTAGTAGTAGTCTTCCTCTTGAAAATGACCATGGGTTTTAACTTTGTTCCATCTGCCATGCATGTTAATACTATTATACTGCGGTAACTTGGTTTTTTCATGGCCTGTACTTCTGACTTGAACAATTTTTACGCCTTTTGTTTCCACAGTTCTACTGTTTATTAAGTCAAAGTTCATTCGTGTTTCATCCATATTTCCAATATTAGATAATGGAAAGTTGTATTTTTGCGTCATACCAGTAACAAACTTTGAAAACTCGTAACTTTATGGTCAAGATCTTGTGGTAATTTCTGCACAATTTTTGTTTTCTGTCATATTAACAGATTTTTCTGTTCATGAAACAATTGCACCAACTTACTGTTGCTTTAAATTCTTTGTTCTGAATTGGCCCATGCCCACTTCAATGCATAAGCCCTAATCATGTTTCTTGTAACAACATAACAGCAATTCTGCCTCTGTTCTTGTACTCATTCTGCAACATTATTTTCTAAATCTGGTCAGTAAGCTATTCCTCTCATCATAGAACATTTTTTCATTAGCATTTTTTTAATAGCATCTTCATTCTTTCTCCAATCTCTTACCATCTTCTCTGTTATATAGAAAGCCCTTGCTGCAGCACAGTTTTTTGATTCTTTAGCCTGTTTATGACTTTTAACTTGAAGCCTCTTCATCTTTCCTTCTTTTCATTGGTTCCATGATTATGCCATTATGCCTACACTTTACAAATTTTACGCTGATTACAGTTATAGTACAAACTGTTTGAACACATGACACAACCTACAACGAAACTTGTTACAGGTACATGTGAGTTTGTGATCAGCATATGATTTTATAGGCAAAAACGTAACGATAATGAAGGAGGCTTTTCCTTTATGCATGCAA